TATTGTATACTATAATGTACACTCACCTAAAGGATTATTAGGAACACCATATACTGTGTTTGACCCCCTTTCACCTTCAGAACTGCCTTAATTCTACGTGGCATTGATTTAACAAGGTGCTGAAAGCATTCTTTAGAAATGTTGGCCCATATTGATAGGATAGCATCTTGCAGTTGATGGAGATTTGTGGGATGCACATCCAGGGCACGAAGCTCCCGTTCCACCACATCCCAAAGATGCTCTATTGGGTTGAGATCTGGTGACTGTGTGGGGGCCATTTTAGTACAGTGAACTCATTAGCATGTTCAAGAAACCAATTTAAAATGATTCGAGCTTAAGTTTGTGACATGGTGCATTATCCTGCTGGAAGTAGCCATCAGATGATGGGTACATGGTGGCCATAAAGGGATGGACATGGTCAGAAACAAACGATGCCCAATTGGCACTAAGGGGACTAAAGTGTGCCAAGAAAACATCCCCCACACCATTACACCACCACCACCAGCCTGCACAGTGGTAACAAGGCATGATGGATCCATGTTCTCATTCTGTTTACGCCAAATTCTGACTCTACCATCTGAATGTCTCAACAGAAATCGAGACTCATCAGACCAGGCAACATTTTTCCAGTCTTCAACTGTCCAATTTTGGTGAGCTCTTGCAAACTGTAGCCTCTTTTCCCTATTTGTAGTGGAGATGAGTGGTACCCGGTGGGGTCTTCTGCTGTTGTAGCCCATCCGCCTCAAGGTTGTGCGTGTTGTGGCTTCACAAATGCTTTGCTGCATACCTCGGTTGTAACGAGTGGTTATTTCAGTCAAAGTTGCTCTTCTATCAGCTTGAATCAATCGGCCCATTCTCCTCTGACCTCTAGCATCAACAAGGCATTTTCGCCCACAGGACTGCCGCATACTGGATGTTTTTCCCTTTTCACACCATTCTTTGTAAACCCTAGAAATGGTTGTGCGTGAAAATCCCAGTAACTGAGCAGATTGTAAATACTCAGACCGGCCCGTCTGGCACCAACAACCATGCCACGCTCAAAATTGCTTAAATCACCTTTCTTTCCCATTCTGACATTCAGTTTGGAGTTCAGGAGATTGTCTTGACCAGGACCACACCCCTAAATGCATTGAAGCAACTGCCATGTGATTGGTTGATTAGATAATTGCAATATTGAGAAATTGAACAGGTGTTCCTAATAATCCTTTAGGTGAGTGTATTTTGAAAGTATACTTTCAATGCGTTGTTACAATGATAATTTCCAGCACACAGTTAAAATATACCAAAAATATATTTTTAATAAAGTGCAAATAAAACTAAAAAATAAGTGCATTTTAAAAAAATAAACTGAATTTTCACTTCAAGTATTTTTTTAAGTATATTTTTAGAAAATATACTAAAGTACAAATATTTTAAAGTGTGTTAAAAGCTGTATTATGAAAATAGGTAAAAGCATGATGCTAATAAACTTTTTAATATATTTAAAGATAGTACAATTTTTTTTAGTATATGTTGAGGTGTTTAAAGATGTGATTGGGCCAGCCCAGTGTCCATCAAGAAAAGAACCAATGGGCCGCTGATCTACGTTTTTCATGGGCCGGTCTGTCAAAAAAAAAAAAAAAAAAAAACTAACACTGACTTTTTTTGACCAATGCATTACACCGGCACTAACCCAGGGCCGCCAATTAAGCAAAAGAAAACAAAATGAATGGGCCGGTATGCCAGATTACCAGTCCAGGCCTGCTGTCAAGGTCCTTGAGTAGAAAGTTGTAACGTCAGTCAGGGGATAATTTTGGTTGCAGGGGTTGCATTTTGCAATGAAATAAATGAAAGTCGGGTTGACGTGAGAACCCGACGTCGGTTCGACGTCAAAACCTGACATGACGGTTTGACGTCAACCCGATTTTCATTTTCAACCACAATACAACATCTGTCCAACGTTGCAGATTAACGTCAATCTGACATTGGACATAAACCTGATTTTTAAATTCAACGTTGGGTTTGGTCTTCTAAATGCGAATTTTGTCATTGTTTTGGAGCACACTAGCTTATAGATAACAATAAGGCTAACATCTTCATACTAAAAGCCAAAAAACTTTTCATAGAGACTTTAAATAGGGCACTATTTGAGGGAACAGCCATTTGGGCGTCCTGAACCATTGTGGACGTTATTGCATTTATTCAATCTCACATTCAATCCCACTACTGGAACTGTGTTCTAGAAATAATTTTGATATTGATATGAGGGTGGATAGATTCAGAGGCATAAGGTAGCCTACTGTAAGTATTACATACAACAATGCAACAATAATAAAACAATGCATTGATGCTTCTGATACTTAAGTACTTCTGTACTTTTACTTAAAGCTGCAGTCCGCAATTTTTCCTCTTTGTCGCCATCTCTGTTAGAAATCTGCAATTGCAGTTATTCGCGGAATTATCAATAGTACTTCGACACGGCACAGCGCGGATGAACACAATGTTTGAGGAGAGTGTGCGGCTGTCAGGCCGGTGTGGATACAGTCATTCAGAATCACAGATTATTCTTTTTGGAAGTATGACCAACATAATAATTTTCATTTAATTTAACATCCACTTTTGTTCTGGTTCGGACACTGCAGTAAATCGCGCTGATTAAATCTAAAAATCACTTATCATATCACGCTAAACCATGCAAATTATACTTTGTTGTCAAATTGTTAATGTTAACAATGCCAGCATTGCGTGTCTACATGTAATGTCCTTCCGATATGTATCCTTATTTTCGCATGGGTCCTGCAGTCTCTTTTTTTCTGTAGCCACTCCGAAGTCCGAACGAAGTCTTTTGCATTTTACAGCGGGTGAATCTCTAGTTGTCACTGGTGATCGTCGTTTGAACCTTTCTGGATCCGCCATGAAATTGATGAGTTTAATTATATCAAGTGCTGTGAGAAAAGGCTATAAATCTCCACCTCCAACATCCTCACACGCAATATAGCCTACTAGCCGAGACTCCTCCTTTATGTGAGATGTGACGTAATGACGTAAAGACATGCTCAAATCTCCCGTGGAAATCCACCAGAGTTAAAAACATTATAACAAGCTTACCGCTTTGAATCGAGCTTTGAGGGCAAGCAGATAGTTTTGAACACTGGCTGGTTATGTATTTTCTCAAATATGTATTTTGGATCATTTTTAACCCAAAAAAAGCTACGGACTGCAGCTTTAAGTAAAAATCGGTCTTTACAACTTTTACTTGTAACGGAGTAATTTTTGACCAGTAGTATCTGTACTTTCACTCAAATAAGGAAGTTGTGTACTTTGTCCACCTCTCTCTCTCTCTCTCTCTCTCTGTGTGTGTGTGTGTGTGTGGAGAGAGAAAGAGGGAGACATAATAATTTTTCTTATTTATCCATCAGTTTCTGATTTAAACCTAGATTTTTATGTAGGTTCTCCTAGTATATACTATTATATTATATTATATTATAGAATAACAATAAAACTAATAATTATTCACAAATAAAATAAAGTTAAATTAACGAGTCACTATGCAAATTCATTCAGATTCATGTTCCCTATATAACTTTAAACAATGACGATAAAAAAATAGGAAACCAATTGTCAATTAAAATCCGTAATCCTCATGTTTTTTCATGCTTATCTCCTGGTTGTTTATGGGTGAGCTATGTATGTGGTCATAAATGATGATGATGGACCTTAATCACTGCAGCTCATGTTCACGTCATTATCTGTTCTATTTGCTTGTCTGGGAGCTGTGAGATGATTGTGGCTCTGAATTTGTTCTTGTGTGTAACTGTGTGACTAACAGCACTGACCTTTGGTCTGACGTAGGTTTTACAGCTCTGAATTGGTCAGTTTTGCCTTGGGAATGGCCAATAAGACCAATATCCTTTTGATCTGTTGTGTTTGTGTCTTTTTTAATAGTCGTTTATAGAATAAAAAAAAACGACCCTCTGTGTCAGGGCGTGTTATATTGTAGTTTAAACATCTGTTTATTCTATAATCCCATACACCCCAGCTCACCCTGTTCTTTGAATTTTGTCTGGATGCAGTTTGCCTGAGGTGCTCGAGCGCATTTAAGTTATTAGCTTTGACTGCAAAACCACATGATCGTGTCCGAGTGGCCCAGGGTGTAATCACAGAACTGAGCTCATCCGCCCCTAATAATCCAGCAGTCCGACTGCATCCACCTCAGCCCTGTTTCCATGGCAACACGCCATCCTAAAGAAACAGGAGTGAGGAGGTATTCACCTCCGAGGGCTGAGGCCACTGTACCGCCGTGACAAGCCCCACTCCCTGTCCTGTTGCATTATCATTTCAAGAGAAATGCACAACATTAGTGCTGCTGTCCCGTCTTACTGAACAACACTAGAGCAGCCTGAGTGTGTTTTTATTGGTCTTCGGTCTTTTAAAGAGTTAAATGAAACTTGGAAAGTCAACCTGGGTAACAGATACCATGTGGCATGAACTGTGACTGCAGTCATAGTCATATATTAACCATAAGTATATGTACATGAATTACTGATCTGTGAACATTATATAATGTTTTGATAATGACTTGTAGTGAAAGGGAAACGAAATAGTAATGAAAGTATTAAAGTGTTACCCGTATTAGTTTTTAAAAACACAATAAACATACTTATAATCATACATTAAATGGTATCATTAAATCTATCTATCTATCTATCTATCTATCTATCTATCTATCTATCTATCTATCTATCTATCTATCTATCTATCTATCTATCTATCTATCTATCTATCTATCTATCTATCTATCTATCTGTCTATCTATCTATCTATCTATCTATCTATCTATCTATCTATCTATCTATCTATCTATCTATCTATCTATCTATCTATCTGTCTGTCTGTTTTTTTTTTTTTTTTTTTTGCAGACTTCACCTGTAACAGAAGCGATGACGTGTCAGTGCACGCAGGGGGGGGGGCGTTGCGCGCGAGTGCAGGTGCATTCATCTCGGACTGAACTATACTGTGTTCACCGCACTCTCGTTGTTGGCTGTGTAGTGCGTAGAGAAACTCTCGCACTCTCTGAGAGAATTCACTGGGAAATACGCCGCGAAACAAACGGACACTTGTTCGGTCTCATACCACTGAATTCTGAGGAGTCAAAGATGATTTCTGCTAGGATTATGTAGTAGCGTCGGTCTTCTCACGGTGAACATCGTTGGTTCTGAGGAGAACACATAGTTTCAGGACACTTGAAAGAGTCCTAGTTCTTTGATTAGTTTGTAGATAACTGTTATCTACTTCACGCGCAGCAGTGAATACGGACGAGCGCGCGCAGAGCGGACACTCTTCACATGCTGAGCCATGGAGACGCTAACTGCAGCGAAACTTCACACCTGCCTGCCAATATTCACATTTCTCTGCTGTATTTCAGGTAGGCTGCTTCTAAACCACTATATTTACTATTTCTGTGTGCTTTGGTTATGTAAATACTTAATGTTTTCACGAACTGGGTAGTTCGGTTTCATTCAAGATGTTTCCAGAGTCCAACGATTAAAAAACAAAACAACTAAGTCAACATTACAAGTCAACAGTATGACTAATATATATTGTTAAAAAAAAAATCATGTTGCCTACATATTTTTTGGTTTTATTGGCTGTTTCCAGTCCAAATGTAAAAACTGTAAGCCATAAATTGATCAGCAATGTAGGTTATTAAAGGCGCCTGCTAGTTAAACTACACGTTAAAACAATGTTTATATATTATTTTATTTATGATTGTGTGTGTGTGTGTGTGTGTACCTTACTATATCTGGGGGACAAATTTGTACCCAGAAGTGACCAAAATCTCCAAAAACCTCTCTGGACATCCTCATTTGTAAATCTGGTATAAAAATAAAGTAATTAAAGTTTTTTTTTTTAAATGTATGTTGATATTTTTGTGTGATGGGTAGGCTATAGGGTTAGTGTAAGGGGATAGAGACAGTTAAGTAGGCTACAGTATAAAAACCATTACTTCTATTGAATCTCCAAGTAAATGTGTGTGTATTGTAATATTAATATAACATGTAATTAATATAGGCCTAATTAAAAAATGTCTTATTATTTTGCTTATTTTGTTATACTTGTTTAGTCTCTTTCCTCCCACTTGGTATTAAATGAACATAACACATAGCCATTAGGCTATGTGTTATGTTATATATGTGTTATATATTACTACCTGGTGTCGCACATATATAATGTGTTATTTATTACTACCTGGTGTCGCACATTAGTAAAGGTAAACCCTTGAGTCACATGCCCTTATAAAACACTGTTATCTAAACATTTCCATGAGTAGGCTAGTTTCATCCTGGGTGTGGTCATCTGCTGCTTACGGAATCATTTGACAAGCTGCTTTTCTGGGCAATAATGTCATTTTCCTTGAATTATTCTATGTGTGAAGTATAAACAATTGGCATTGTTTGGATCTGAGTGCCGTATGTAGTAATACTGTAGCAGTTGTAAGGAACAGGATCTGACTTATGGGAGTACTGAGATTACTTATCATTGTTTTCTCATGCAAACATGCACAGAGCCACACATTTTGCAGGTGCGTCCTCTTCTCTCCAGTGCCTGGAAATGAGGGACGTGGGTGAAAATGAAATGGGTTAACAGCTCGGTATTTCCTTGACTTGATTAGGAACAAAAAATGGACAAAACTTGATCAGTGTTGATCTGTGATGGAGGCAAGTGAGAAATAGTGAAATGACTTAATACTAATTGTCTGTAATACTGTAACCGCAGGAAAAGTTTGAACTGAATGTGAAATCTAGAGCTGCAGGTCTCACGTTTGTAGTGCAAACCAAGGATTTACTAAACCCTCTGGAATTAAATAGCTCAGAAAAATTCCATCGCCGGTTTCTGTGTTAAGCCCAGGTGGCAGGGATAAAATTAGTTCAGAAGAACATCATAAGTTACTGTAATCCTGCATTGCTTTGGTAGCGTGTACAAGTCAAAGCTTGGCTTTTGGTAAAAGCCCTTGTTGGCCTTTTGGCGACACTGGTAAGAACAAAGTAATTTCAGGGGTAATTCAAAAGGTTTCATTTGTCCTGTCTTTATGTTTAGATCTAGAAGAACAAAGCAACAACTCCAAGTTCCAACAGCAATGACTGCTGCTCTAGAATCTAACTGAAAACTTTGTTGATTTTAAGTGTCCGAAAAAGTATGTGGCCACTTAAGCCACACTTAAAATGTCTGAATGTCTTTGCATCAGATTACAAAATATCAGATTAAGTGGTATTTCTTTGAAGAAAGCTTTTTTTTTTTCAACTATCTGTTAGCCTAAATAAAAAAAAGATTGTCATGTTTAAAATGTTAAAAGAATAGATTTATTGTTTAAAATTAAGACAAAAAGTATTTGGACACTTTCATGTCCATAATTAATGCGACCATCTAAACCTGTATGAAATTTAGAGGGACTGACTTCATAAATCCACTAAAACTCACTTTAAGAAATAATTTTAAATATTTGAAAGTATCAGAAAAGTTGGTTCTTCTGAGAAATGCTTTAGCATCATTTGTTAGCAAATGCCATTTGGTTTGACAACACAGAAGCGTTGCGCTGTTACACCATGCGAAATCTCGAGGCCCAAGGAAATGAATAGTTGAATAAATTATTTATATTGGTTTGTTTGTTGCGCACAAAAAGTATTCTCGTTGCTTGATAAACTTAAGATTGAGCCACTGTAGTCACTTGGACTATTTTAACAATGTCTTTAACTTTTCTTGGCCGGCAAGTTTCGATCCCTTAGAAGCCTATGGAGGAGTGATCCAGCTCTCAGATTTAATCAAAAATATCTTAATTTGTGTTCCGAAGATGAACGAAAGTCTTACGGGGTTGGAACAACATCAGGGTGAGTAATTACTGACAGAATTTTCATTTTGGGGTGAACTATCCCTTTAAGTGTCCAAACACATTTTGGGCTCATTGCAGTTTTCATTTTTGCCATGTTTGTTAGGGTTTGAGATGTGGGTTGTGTTGTGTATCAGGATGTCCCATATACGGAAGCGAGAGGAGTCCCTCTCTCAGTGCTGTGTCCCCAGAGGAACGTGCTCAGTGCGGTATGGGGTCATGAGAAAACTAGTGGGCGACTTTCCCAACTCTCTTCTTGGCCTATTGACATTCTTGGAAATACACTTACACATAATGTGTAATGGCATCATAATCCATTTTTAAAAAGACATGCCACATCCTATTGGAGAAGTGGTTTCACTATATTTCGATGGCCCCTTTAATACATTCTGTTGGCTATATAAGCAATGTTGCACCTACATGTCTTCTAACTCTCATTAGAGTGTTAGTATAGTAGTAGACTGGTAGGGTTAGGGTTAGAATAAGCTACTTATAGTCAACAGAATGTTCAAAAGGGACCATCAAAATAAAGTGTTACCAGAGATGTTTTTACATCACAGAGCTTGTACAGTGATGATGTTGTAGAACAGTTGTACTTATTTATAGTAACTGCACCCACATAACGCAATTTGTCCTTTGATGTGCCATTGTATTATTGTGTTGACAAAGCACGATAAAGTAAGAATAAACATTCCACTATTACACACATAAATCTAGTTGTATAGAACTATGGTCAGTATAGAACCACAGTGGCCTAAATCTTTATTAAGAAAAATAAATAAATCAATATATTTGAGTGAATTATTATTATTTTTAAATTGGATAAGATCATATAGTCCTAGTGCAGCTCAGAACACCAATGTGTGTCTGTCCATTTATCATTCAATTTAACTTGACGTGGTGTTGTGGCAGGCTGTCGGGCCGATGTATCAGTTTAGATACTGAACTCATGCAGGGTGACGGTGTGTTGATGCTTTTACTCTGCTCTCTGTCTGGTCTAACAGGAATCTATGTAACAATTCATGACTTGAGACACTGAGGTCAGACGCAGAGACTCCTTCCTGTCATCTCTCAGACACAGATTATATAATAATGTATATTATAATAATATCTTAATGAGAGAAACAGAGTGTGATGCATTTCAGAGCCAACACCTATGTCTTATTCACTAGCAACTTACAGTCCAGTTTAACCAAGCCATGCATATTTAAATTAAGGCAAATTGCAATTTTTTGTAGTATCTTTGCACCATTTCCTAATTTGCATAATTCCTTTAGAGAACGTTGAAACAACACAGACAGCGCGTGCAAATGAATGTCAGCTGGTGCAATTAATTCTTGAAGTTCCATTGTGTCTTGTAAAGAAGACTTGCAAATCGTTATATGAAACCAATTAATTTAAATAATATTCATATTGGATATTGCATTCCTATTACCATAACAATATTGATTTTCTTTTGATAACTTAGCATCAAAACTATTGACATGAAACTAAATGAATCCTGAAAATCCAGTTAATACAACTCAGGCGAAGAGTAATCTTATTGAGCTAGCTGAGCGCCTGTAGAGGAAGTGACAGAGTAATTACCACTGCTGAAATCCAGTGTAATCTCATATGGCTGGTCAGGAATCATCCAGTCCTGAAATGCAGTGACAGCAACTTTCTGTCTGTCTGCCAGATCGTTCCTTTGTACCTGGAGTTCTCTGTTTGCACTGTCAGAAATGTTTTAACTTAAAACATTGACCTAATATGGTAGCATCTAAAATTGTATTCTAGTGAAAAATATTGTATTATCATAGAATATAGTACCTAGGACACAATCATTTTTAGGATTGTTTTTTTTTTATGTTGTGAGAATTGTTCTTTTTGCTGCAGAAGCCTTGTGCCAAATTCTAACCGTCATATAACCTCATACTTGACTGACTTGGAACGCTCTACAGCAGCTCCATGCACTTTTGACAACACTTCATGAGAGGGCTGCCCCCTAATAGTAGACCAAACTTTAATTAGTCAGTCGCAGAAAAGAAAAAAAAAATCTTCAGGAAGTCACACACAGTCTGTGACAGGCAGATAGTTAAAGGCAGGGTAGGCAGGTTTTTTCTAAAAAAAACTTTTTCCCAAATTTGTTTAAACTGTCTTTATATACCAATACATAATTAAAATGTAAGTACTCTGAAAAGGAGAGTATAAAAATCGACTGTCTGTAGTCCTCTCAGGGCTGCAATAAACACAGCTACTTATTCCATTCACTCCCACCCCCTCCCTTCTGGGCTCCTTCCAAAGCCACGCCCCCAAAACACATGAACGCGCGACGCGTTTACCAGTGCCGAGCAGAGAGGAGCGCAGTGCATGTAGTGACATTATGTCAGAATCACATGTAATAAAATACCTAACTTTATTATTATGCATATAAACAACTAACATGGCTGTTAGTACTCACTATCAAGCTAGCATATCGATACTGGTAAAGTTTAAAATATATATTGAGTTTGATTCGGTAACGAGCTAGTAACACAAGGCAAAGCTAAAAACAGGTTGCA